AATTCTAAAATTTAAGTTTGTATGAGATTCGAACACACGCATAATTACAACAAGGGTAAACGTGTGTGTGTGTGTCGTCATTGTAACTGTTTCCTAGATGCTGTAACAGTAATGTGGTTGTGCATAGAAAAACGAAAGAAAGAAACTTTCACTTTCTTAACAACGTAAAACCAACAGTGATGTAGAAGCTCTGCCTTACTCTATAAATAGAAAATTAAAATTATTTTGTTATCGTGTTTCCAGTTGCCATGTGTGCTTTTTGGATCAAGTAAACACAAACAAAACCAAGGCTTAAAAGCAATAAAAATAAAACCCGCAACCGGTGAATGGCGTGGAAGAGGGAGGATGGGGTGAAGCTTGAGATACTCCACACAACATATATGTTCACGATAAGCATCTACTTCTGAGTCAATTTAAGTATTCCCCGTCTGCCCGTCCGTTCGTCCGTCAGGCTAATGTCTGTTTGTGGTAAACTTTCTCCTGCAACTATCAGTGTCAAATTTGGTAAAAACATTTTTCTTCACGCCCCCATAGTTCGTTTGTTTTTAGAAGCAAAGGAAAGGAATGAAGAGGAGAAGGAAGCAAAGCAAGGCGAAGGCTATAGAAAATCGCCAGTCTCGTCCACAGCGAACTACTCAAATGAGAACACCTCTGTTTGATTCCTCTGTATCGAAAGTTTGTCGCTATAAGCATGAAAGATTCGCTCACAGCCGAATATAATTTTCTTACTTATTGTTCGTTCTGATAACTTAACTTAGTGACTACTGTTAATAGTGGAAGGAAAATGGTTGGCTATTGGCTATAAATACTTTCTCTGATTTTAATTTCTTTAGTTTTTTGCGTTTGTACAACAAAGTTACCACAGTTTGTGAAGGTAATCAACGTTTTCTTTTTATTAAGTTCAGCTCTATTTTGCGATAGGCAACAATTGTTTATTATAATTGCTATACAACACTTGACACTGGATCCATTAATTGAATATGAAATAATTTTTTCAGTTCTTTTCTGATTTTTTTATTTTATTTTACTGTTTCTTTTCATCGTAAGGCATCCAAAAATTACTACGTAAAGCCATAGTTTTCAAAAACGCTTCCGTGGGGATCCTAGTGGCTTAAACTTTTATATGCCAATTTGTCCTTCAAACACGAAACACTCAAGTTTGTTTTCATACAACGATGTGCGGTTTTTTACTGTTACACGCATTCACTGCAATTTCTTCTTCTTCTTCTTTCCTCTGACGGGGCCTGAAGGAGGCTTATTTATCACCTCAAATATTTAATGTTCCCGCGATTTTAGCGGCAAATATAGCCACCACGAAACTCCCTAAAGGGCCGTTCCCAACAATCGGGTAGAAGACCCACACTACGCAGATTCTGCGGCAACAAAAACTGCAGGCAGTAGTTCCACGCAGAGGGGACACTCTGGACAACCACTTGTGATATTGGGAATAAAAGCAAAATTTCGCTAAACCTGATAAAAAAAAAAAGAACTGAGCTCATTTTTCGGTGCGGCCATGTCTCTGTCGCTTATCGTACGCTCTTGATGGCGAAAAATTGTAGTCACTTTCGTAATAAAAAGTTTAGCGTAAATTAACAAGTGACTCTCGTTCGCATTGGGCTTGTTATAACGGTTTCCTTATTTCTTAGTCCCAACATGGAAATTAAAAATTTGATGATGAATTAAACAGACTGACGACGATATTTTCACATTTGAAGTTATGGTCAACTCTTAGTATGCGCAGCGTATAACCATTTAAAGATTAGCAAATATTATCCATATTAATAGGTTACCGTAGAATTAATATTACTGTAAAAACGGCGAAATTATTATTAAATGCATCAGCAAAGTAAGCATTCCTTTTAGGTGTGAATAGTAGAAAAGTGGTTAATGAAGCAAATGTGCATCGCTTTTAGTTCTTATCATGGAACGGAGTTATTCTTGTAATAAGATGTTAGTCGCTCAAACAAAATACACATATCTTTGATGTGTTTTGGGTAATGTTATACGTTTGACGATCTTCGACGTCTGTATAGTTTTTTAAATCGCTGCTATTACCTCAAAACTCTTTTCGAAGATCAAACTTGATTCTTGTTTCGTTTTCCGATTCTAGAGTCATCCTCCAAGAAGCGGCAAGATTGTAAAGCCAAAGAGATTGTACATAGCAATCATCCTTTTCGGAAATCATAGTAAGCGTAATAAGAAAAGGTTCGCCGATTACCTGCAAAACGTTTTCACTTGGCAATATTTGTATTCGAAAATATTTCCACTTTTAATGACTTTAACATATTTGGAAATTATCGAATACTTACTAGTAAAATTTTTTATAGGTACAAGCGATGAAATAATTTCCGAAGCCAAGCAAATGTGTTGAAAATAACTTACCAAAGAAAATCTCAATCAGAAAATATATGAAACGTGTGTGTTGCGGATAAAACAAAAAAAAAAGACGAAAGACGAAAGACGAAAGAACTTGTGTACGTACACACTCATGTTTATTAAAATAATAATAATAAAGATGTGTGTGCGTTGTGCATTCGTATCTACAATACTTCTTTTTTGCACATATTAAGTTCGTTCTTACTGATGTAAGAACCGATTAGTACTGAGGACTTATATGTTAGCGGTATGTTGGGGAAACAAAAGTTATTTTAAGCTCTCCGAACTTGACACAGTTATGATATATTAGCGTTTGCAACGATTTGTTTGCGACAACATAAGAATGACAAATAGTCTAAGCTACACTACTTAACGATGGCGCAGTTCTTTCAGTGTAACATTGTAATAGATAGCCAATACTATGCAACCTATTAAGTTCCAGTACTAAACCACTAAAAGATTGGAATGAAAGACAGGGAGTTCTTTGAGCCTTTATTCGTTTGTGAAAGCAAACATTTGCAACTGACAGTTTGGACATTTTTATCTACTATGGTAAATATGGGAAAAACTTGAAAAATCACCAAATTCCGAAAAAGAAATTATGTGTTATATACAAGATGGCCATGATTACAATATCCATCCAGTATTTAAGTAAATCACAAACTTTAGAAGTGCTTTAAAAATGAATGCAAGTAAAAATTCTACATAACACTTTGTCTAAAATCATCGCCATCATCATTATCGTTACTAACGCCTCGTAGCGTGCAAGGTCATTTTCTCTTCTTTATTTATTTATTTTTCCAGTATAGAATTTTTCTTAAAGACGCCATCAAGTCTCTTGCCGCAAATGGAAAAAAAAAATTTCTTTTTTTTCAACACATCCGGTCAAATTATATTTGACTTTGAATATGTAAAATACAAAAGCATTAAATTTGTGCAAAAAAAAAAAAAAAAAAAAAAAAACACATTTTGCTTACATCAACTGTAAGAGGAAAAAGTCAGATACTATATAAGTATCTCTTGTCCTCTCCTACTTCCAAAAGTTAATCGTATTATTCAACGTGATATTCTGAGCATGATAGACACATCAACCCGCCCGTCCAAAAGTATCAACTAAGATTTTTCGAAATTAAATTTCGCACTATTTTTTTCATATTTAACGCCTTAGGTAGGTCTATCCGATACATAATTTTCGAAGCATTTGCCATTTCTTTCCTGCTTCATAGGAAAGTGTAGCAAATAAAAAAAAGGAAGAATTATAAGAAACTTTGAATATCTAATAATTTAAACAAAGATTTTAAATTTTAATTTTTTTTGTTTTCAAAAGTTTAACTTCGCAGAAACATGCAAAGTGTAATGAGGAAAAAGCCGTGTACCTTCTTGTATATTATTTTGAAAGCCCCGAGAAGGACTTAAGATTGACCTGCCTTTTATTATACCAATCGATTCAGAATCATTGCCTGAATTTTTGCCTACAAATTTATCAAAAAACCAAAAAGATGACCATTATTTTTATACCCGTCACCGAAGGATGAAGGGTGTATTCATTCTGTGAAAATGTTTGCGACGTCCAGAAGGAAGCATCGGAGAACTCACAAAGTATATATATTCTTGATCAGCATTAAACTCTAAATCGATTTAAGCATGTCCGTCTGTCCGTCCGTCCTTGTAATGTTGGTTGTAAACATTTTCCTGGCCGCAAAAGTAAAGCTATCGATTTCAAATTTGGCAGAAACATTGGAAATTCTTGCACGCAAGGTGGTATTGAAAATGTGCCAAATCGGGTGAAGGACACGCCTACAGCACCACGTAAACTGAGAACACCTGTGTTGTTCAAAAGGAATGAAATATTGGTTTTTTGCTCATTATTCATAAACTATAGCAAATAAATCTACAAAAATTTGAATGCATATTCTATGTTACAGCATTCGTGCACAAGAATGGGAAAAATTGATCGCGCCTACTCAATATTTTAGATATCAAGTTTTAATTGTTTTTTCAATACCTTTAGAAGGTGCAGGAAAAAGCTTCAAAAAGCCCATCAAGTATACAAATTCTTGGGCAATTTCAAATCTGGAATGCAATTAAAAATGTCCGTTTGTTCGTCCGTTCATATGTGTATATGCATGCCAGTGTAGTGTTTGTGGTAAACATTGTCCCGTTAGCGAAATTGAAGATACAACGCTCATAAATTGCAAAAGAATTTAAAAGTGACTTAAACTTTTCGAAGGACACGCCCACAGCATCTACACGCCCATGTTACAAAAACTTTTATTTTGGAAATAGCAAATATCGGCCGCGCCCACTCCATATTATAGAGCATGAAAATTTTTTTCTTTTCCTCTTTTGTTTTTTTTTTAGAATAACGGATTTAAGTTTCTTACTTGTTTGTTCTTGTGTGGACCTTTTCGCGGATAGTTGTTCTATCGGTTAATAATTCAAGGTCTTCCAGCAAGCTGATGAATGTTGGGACCAACGATAAGATAACTTTTACTACTCATTTTTACTAAGGATGCATTTTTAGCGGAAGAAATCTAAAACATTTGTGCACTTGCACTTTACTTGTTAAGCAAGAATATTGACGTCAATTGGATCTGTTTCTCATACTTTCTTTTTTTTTTCAGACGCGGATTAACACCGCCCCATCGCGTGAAATCCATTTCAATGGCAACTTTTACCCAGGAAGAGATTGATTTTCTAAAAACGCACGGGAATGATATATGTTCCAAGACCTGGCTGGGCTTATGGGATCCTAAACGGGTAGTACATCAGGATCAACGTGAATTGATGATCGATAAGTATGAGCGCAAGCGCTACTATCTAGAGCCGGCTAGTCCCTTAAAATCACTCACAAACGCCACAAATTTGAAGACAACTACAGCGTCCGCAGGTGCGTTTGCATCCATTTCAGCGAACAAAAATTGCATTACACAAACTAGCAGCAACAATAACAGCAATAGCAATAACGAAAACAATAAAAATCGTAACAATAATTACAATCAAAACAATAATCATTCGCAATTAACACCGCCCAGTTCTCAATGCAATGGCCTGCGCAGGAATGCTTTAACGCAGAAAATGACAACAACATCAACAGCAGCTATAAGCCGTCCCCAGCACAATACTCTACTGCAAAATAGCTTTAATGGCATCAAAGAAACAGACGCTTTCGGGTCGGGCTCGGTTGGAGCCATGTCCGATACTAGCAGTTGTGCCAGTAACGGTTTCAGTGGCGAAGCAGATTTTGTGGCTGATTTCGGTACAGCCAATATATTCGATGCTACTACTGCATACTCACCGGAAATTTCCCCGTCCAATGGCTACGCCAAAATTCAGACTTTAAAACCTACTCGCCAATCCCTAAATGATGGTAATCAAAAAAATCCTGCGCAAATTTCTGTCCCATCTATACCCAATGGGCATATTAAAAGTGAAAATGAATGCGGACAGTTTCTATGCAATGCTAACACTGAGAATTTTGCGGATTTCGAACACGCGCCCATTTACAACGCTGCAGGTAAGCTCCGCATTAATAATTCGACGATGTTTAATATTTTGCAAAAAAAAGAAGAACTAAGTTCATTCTCAATCCATTTCACTTACTACAAGCTCTTCTCACATATGTCTGTTTCGGAAGCATTTTCAAGTTAAGTAAAAGTTATGCTTTTGATCCTTATATTCGTTTAAGCCATATCTCCTGTTCAGTCGGCTATCGTTATTACTGTGGTTACTGTTTCTGATTTCCTTTGTATTCTGTTTGAACCATTCTAAGCGTTTTAGCCCTATATATATATATATATATATATATATGTCTCTGAGATAATATTCATTTACAAATTTTCTCTTATTATAACCTACACCACTTATGGTACAGGATATATTAACTTAGTCGCGGTCGTATGTAACGCGCAAAAGGGCTTAAGATGAACCCTCCTTTTATTATACCGATGAGTTGATCTAAGCTTGTCTGTCTCTCTGTCCGTTTGATGTCTATCCATGTAAATTTGTGTTCAAGCTGCCGTTCGCAATTTTTGAGATATTTCGATGAAATTTGGTATAGTAAGGTGTTTTGGTCCAAGGATGAACGCTATTGAAAATAGTTCGTTTCGGTTCACTTTTTCGACCACTCCCCATGTAAAGCCCTATTCTGAAAACTCGTTATCTGGAAAAATATAGCAATTTTCAAAATTTCTTGACAAAAGTGGCTAAGTAGTAATATTTCGGCATTCTAAATTGGTATGAAAACTGTGCAATGGCTGGGGCAATTTTCGGACCTCCCTCAAATATCGAAAGCTAAGGTATAAATTTTTGTGATGAAAATTATATCATAATAGCAATTTAACATAAAAAAATTAACTGGTCCAAATTTAGACCATCTCGGCCTACATTTTGGATCCTACCTTATAAAAAAAAATTTTCGCGGAAATTGATCCTTTGTAGAGCAGGAAAAACTACGTTTTAACAAATGGTGATCGAAATTGACCCATAATATTTTAGGAACTTCATACAGAAATGAACTCTACAACTCCGATTTTTGGATCCTGCCCTATGTAAGGATTAAACTTGTACTATATTAGGGTACGTTTTGGGCCCGCTTCTCCAACGCTGTGCACATGAAAAATTTGCCTTTATATACAATCAAGACATATTATTATTATTATTACTATTATAAATTTAGCTAGAGAATAAATTCCAAGACTAAAGCACTAGCAAATGTATCTAAGACTTTCGGCTTTATTAAAGAATTCTACCGCACTTGAGATTTGAACGCACAACCATTGAGAAACAAGATATAATTTTTGTGTTCTATAATAAAATTAAGAATTGTGTTAGACAGTGTAGTGTATTTAATGATCGGCCTTGCCCGACTATAATGTTCTTACTTGTTTTTATTATGAAATCAAGTAATTAAATCTCGAATTTTTTTTTAATTTATTGCTGGTTCAACAAACCAAAAAATTCTTTGTCTACTGCCTTTTCTTCTCGTATTTTGTTTCTTATATTTTTTGCATTTAAACTCGAAAATGTCATTCTCATAGTTATGCGCATCACAGGGTTTCCGAAATTCAGACATCTGTTCTGATTCATAGCAATCTTTCCTTTTCTTATTCACAAGTGACTTTGGCTACTGATCATGAATGTGACACCTTGTTATTATTTAACCCATTGTCATAACTGGTGTGAACCATACAATGATATAATGAAATTCAAGTATTTGTTACAATGAATAAAAATAAGTAAGAAAATTATATTCGGTCGTGACTGAATCTTTCATACCCATCACCATTATTCTAAAGACGACAAAAAAAATGAAAGAAAGAAATTTTCATACTCTATAATATGGAGTGGACGAGGCTGATATTTTCTGCTTTCAAAATAAAAGTTCTTATCGCATAGGCATATGTGGGCATTGTAGGCTTGTCTTTGAAAAGGATACGCTCTCACTCACTTAGAAGCTCTTTTGCAAATTCCTAGGTGATATTTTCTAACTGGCCAAGAATTTATATACTGTATAGGGGTTTTGAAGCTTCTTTTTGCTCGTTATAAAGGTAAAGGAATTACTTTTTTTTCTCATTCAAAACATAAGTCTCCTACGTAGAACAGAAATCCTGTTATAAATGAGTTCTGACTCAAATTTTAATTGTGTGCTACTATCTCGTGGCAGCGCTTTACTATGTGGACTTAGATCCTAATTTTTGATTGCCTAGTTTTCTGAATTTTTTTTTAGAAAACTTTCTTCTTATATTAGAGAGAAGTGTTTTTCATCTAAGTGGCCGCATGGGCTAAGAATGTCGACTGACAACTCAATGGCCATGGTTTCAAATCTCAAGTGCGGTAGATTTTTCAATTAATCCGATAGCCTTAGAGGCTAGTGCTTTAAGACTTTAGTCTTTGAATTTATTTCTCTGACTAAATTAATTCTTCTTCAACCAGTTATGAAGATATACGTAAAATGGCAACACAAAATTAGTCTCGTAGCAAATTGTAGCAACATAAAACGTATGCTGCATTCAAGCTTTAAACAATGAGAATGACAATTAACTCAATGTCGCTATGACTTAATAAAGTGCCCGCAACTACAACATAAGTTTGACTAAAGATCTGTGTGTGTGTGCATGTTACGCACTGATTAGACTGAAATCTTTATATTATTTATTTTTTTCCATCTGAGAATCAGTCCAAATATTATGACAATGCAATTTTGCATCCTCATCGCTTCATTTGCATATAACGGACACGAGTTGCATTCGTTTAACATCAGTAAGTACTGGCATTTTCACGACCAAAATGAGGTTAGTGCTCGGATCAATGAATATTTCCTTAAAATGTCACGCACTTGATATACGACCTTCCAGACGCAAATAATGCGAAACGATATCACGCGAAGGCGGAATAGTTTTTTCCCCCTTTCCAAAAAGAAATCAAATGGAAATGGAGCAAAGTATATATTTTGTGGGATCTACCTCTCATTCTCTCACAAGCGTTGCTCACGTACTTCTTACTCGAATTCCTTTGATTCAATTTGCACACACAAGAACTTCCGTGAAGAAACAAATATTTCCAAATATTTTTCGGATCACTTTACAAATATAAAGCAAATATTGATCTGCAATTACATTGCAAATTGACGCGAACATTAACCCGCTTGCTCTAAGAATTTGCAGTGAAATTACGTTCGCTCGACAAATGGACAGGTTTAAGTTAGTGAACATTACAGATTGTCTACAGTAAATTTCATATTTTTTATCCGATCGGATCACCTTACATAACGATGCAAACCGTTGCTTTAAAGGTGTTCAAGAAATTGGGCCTTGTCTCCAAGTTCATAGACATGGACTAAATTGAATTGATCGGTAAGGATGGTACAAAAGATTTAAGGATATCCCAATGTTCCCACCTTCACTTACGGTTTTCGGTGTTCAAGTAACCCCCTTTAAGTACGGTAGAGTTTACCTTGATCGTAGCTATAGTGAGTATTTAGTCCTAATAGGTTGTTACGACGATCTTGCAATATATCATTCCCTTTCTGCACGTGCTCTTTTTTCTGGCCGTTACCGTGTTACGCGCATAAAAAGAAAAAAGGTTGCCGTTTACAGATATAGTGTTCGATTTCAAATCACAACTTTGGACCTAGAAGAAGCAATCAAAAATATTCTGCAAATATGACTCATCATCTAAATATGATGGCGCAGCGTTAACGTAAATGATCGTTGATTTTGTTATTGTTACTGTTACTTAAGTAGTAGCACCTGCACTGGACACTAATAATAAATAAAATATTTCTGATCTTTCGCATCAGTCATCAGACGCGTATACTTTTATTAGAGTATTTTATCAAGTTATACGATTTGAAACGGCAGTTAAATCCCTGAAGACTGACCATGGCGCTCTATGCCGTTGAGAACGGCCGCTTTGATAATCCAACTAACGCTGGACGTGTCATAAACAATGTACCAGAAAGGAATAAAACCGGAAATGATTATCAAGAAAGACTGTTATGCTCTCCTATTACAAAGAAAGAGACAAAAAAAATGAACTAATAATCGACAGGGAATATGTTAGGTTACGAAGTTTAAGTTAAGGAAGAGTAAAAGAACTGAAAGCAATTGCAATAAAAGAATGAAAAAAAAAAAACTAACGGCATAATGAAAATTATTTTATATTCATCTTCTTCATCATCTTGTTCTAATTGAACCGGTAACTATTTAATGTCTTTTCGCCTTTGGTACACACCATCGATTTACACGCGAATTATCTATGACAGCGAAAGAAGACGATGTACATGAAAGCGATGAATAAGTCAATTGGGCGGAAGAATTTAGAACTATGTTTAGAATTTAGAAAAGTGAGAGATTAGATTTACGATTTCCTTCTATTGAAATGAATTTTATAATAACACATATACACATGTCAAATACTACAAATGTTTATACCTGTTGTGTTGGCATAGCCTTTCAAGCTCTGCAGCGAAACTTGAAATTAAGTTTTATGATTTTATTGCCGTATAATGTTTATTTCTCTATTTCTATTAACATTTTAAGTTATCTTCTTCTTTGTTTTTTTTCAACAAGTTCTCAACATTAATTTCTTTGTTCTTTTCACACCTGCATGAATCTAAAGAGTCACAACCTAATGTTCTTGAAAATATCAGCTGTAAATTTGTAAGAAAATATGCCATTCGTAAAAAATCGGTGACAGGATCTAGTGCAAGCAATAACCAGTGTCCAGACGATAGCCAAAGCAGGGCGAAGGAATCCTCGAGCATAGCGGATGTGGTGCTTAGGGATTGTCAAAACAGGTTTGATAATCCTTTCGATTATTTCGATGCCATTGTTAATTTGAACAATGCCGATAACCAGTTCAAGGGACAACGTGAACATATTAACGAAAAACAAGCAACTAATCTTAGTCAAGTGGCGCCGAATAATAAGTTAACACCCTTTACATTGGTAGGAAATAAATTTTCTTTTAACAGCGATTTCCATAAAGCACCTGCAGATGATGTAAACCCATTTCATAGCTTCTGCAATACGACTTGGACTAATTGGCCAGCAGACCAAGATAGCTCAGCAGACCAAACATTTTGCTTTAATAATTTAAGTCATCAAGAACGCCCGCAAACTATACCGCAACAATATATTACCCCCTTCCCCTGGCCTAACTATAATGATGGATGCAATTCTGATGATAATCGCCGCATGCAATTATCAGCGATACCAGTGACCGTCTCAGTTTCATCGCCGTCCTCCTCCTTAACGTCGATGGCAACGACGTGCTCATTAGAAACGTCACCATCAACGAGCAGTGCGACAAGCATCGTTCACCAAAAGCTGAGTCTTACGAATCCATTTCGCGTACATCTCCTTAATAATGGCAATTGTTGCGATAGTAGTAGCTTTACAAATTCTAACGAAACGGGTGTAAATGTTCTTTCCAAACCTGGCCCTAACTTGGCAGCGTCCTCTACTCGTACAAATTGCGAATTTAATTGTAATTATTTTGATAATGAAAGCAACAGCCACACAAGCGATGACCAAACTAATCAATCCTTAGCAAATTTTGCGAGTGATACGACAACCGCGCGTAAAAGGCAAAGTGTATTGTCACGTCCTTCCTACAATTCCGCAACTGCTTCTGTCAAGACGAGTACTGCTCTTCCGGCTATAAATTCTGTTGAAATTGTTCAATGTCACCGGCATGATCCTGATAATGATAACGATAACGGTATTGATGATGATGTTGATGTGAATGTTCATCTAGCAAATGCTAATTCGACGATTCAAAATGCAAACATAACGAGCTTTTGCCCTTCTAGTTATTTCTTTTCAAATTTAAACAAAAATATGAGTAACAGTTGCTGTAAGTCATACATATATTGTCGTTTTTGAAAGTTTTTTTTTTATTATTTACTTAACAAACATACAAGTTTTTATTTTCTCTTTTTGAGGATTTTACCATCCTTTTGTTCATCCTTTACACATTTACGTGGCTTTTATGTTATGTTTTGGCCTTTTTTCCATTTTTTTTTTGTTTTTTTTTTTTTTTTTTTTTGTTTTACTTATCGCCAAACTTGGTTTTTGCTATATTTGCCTAATTGGAAAGCATGATTTCTCCCCTAATTTTTTAATTGCATTATTTTCCGCAAAGAATACATTCAAGGAGGACATAAATGAAGCTTAACTTAAATATTTTTATTCATCATTTCGAAAACTGCACTATTTAATGAGTGATTTTTTTTCCGTATCCCTTTAGGGGAAATTTCGTCGATTGGGGGAACAGTTCTTTTTCACTCACAAATCTATTCAAATTTAAGCAAATTTCATTACGGACTCATGCACAGATTCAATATTCAAGTGGTGGGATTGAAAAAGTTTAACTCTGGGAGATTTTTCTTTCGAAATTCGATTAAAACGGTTCCCGCTATCAAGTGAACCCGATATCGAATTTGCATTTTGGGTTGATGGTTCTTGTTGACGAGAATCGGACGACGGTACTCGATCTCGTATGAATGTTCGCTAGGCATCGAATGTAAAATGTTATATTTTAGCCCGGAAGCAAAATATCTCTCAACCTTAATGTTCAAAGAACAAATAGACTAAAATGGACGTGGAGAGATTACTTAATCTCAGAGATGAACCGTACAAAATCTTGGCAAAAGTAATAAATTCAAATAACGATTTTCAATGCTTTTACTTGTTGGTACCCAAAAAAGTTTGGGTAGGTATAAATGCTTACGGAATTGACGAAAAAATTCTTGCGAAGTAGTGGAAATATACACTTACCCGAAATTATTTAGCAAATAGTCTTAAAATGCGATATTCAATGCCCGGGCATTATAGACTCAGGCAAATTTTATGTGGAATATGAAGTTAGTCGTCAAAAAAAAAGAAGAAGAAGTCAATTTAAATAAACAATGATATGATGCTTGATGCAATTGATGAAAATTTATTTTATATAGTTTCTAATTATTTCATCAAACTTTTTAAGGTTATCGAAGCAAATTCCCTCCCTTCCTTGCTTCACAGTTCGTTCATTTTACTGTTTGAGGAATTTACTAAATGATGATAACCGTATAGAACCTTGCCGCCGTGATGACAAGCGAAGAGGGTTACTCTTATTCCTCAGCAGTCTCCTTGGGATGATCACAAGATTTTCATCCTTAATTGTTTCTTTACGCAGGCATGTGTGCAGGTATAAAAAGAATGTAACGGGATCCATTGGTTTTGTTGCGTGAAAATAATATTTTATCGATTGACATTCAAGTCGAACTTTTTTTTGAATTCATTTACTTGCTGAAAATGGGTTTGCAGTTGTCGTCAATGGAGCACGCTAAGGAAATAACTGTTTTTTTTGTGGCAAAAATTAGATGACTTCGATTTTAACGATGTGTCGTTTCAATAAAATGCTATACATTTAATGACAAAATCAATTTATTGAGAAAAAGTTCAATGATTATGCAAACTCCAAGAATACCTAGGTGGCGCTGCCAGAAAAATCATTCCATCGAATTCTGTTAGACTCTTTACTTTGGAGTCATGTTGGAGCATTGGCTTACTCCAATAACCAATGACCTCTCAATGACCTTATTCGCCCAGGTTATTCGTGTTATGGGTGAAATAAAAGCACACGTATGTGGAAAAGAGGCAAGAATTGGTGTTCCCACATCGAATTTGCGCAGAAGTTTTTTAAATAAAATTAGCATGAACCAATATCTAAATTAACGGATAATTCACGTTCATACCTTTTACCGTTTAATGTTTTTTGGAAATTAAAAAAAAAAAAAACTCATTTGCTTTTCCCGTGTTTTTTTTTTTTATACATTTTATTTTCTCCCTTTACTTTGCAATATTTTGTTCTATATATATATATATATACCGATGATATCACAAATATTCCGTTATAAATACAACGGATGGAAGCTCAACACGATAGCAAAGGCAATCGAGTACCATCAACCCAAAAAGCGATCGTATCGTTTTTCTCCTTCGTATCGTATACAGGCCGACCCCAGATCCTTGAGAATAACTGACAGAAAGACATATCAGAGTGCCGTAATATACGCTTTAGTGGCTGAGCTAAGCTAAGGTTTCATTTTTAACAAATCCAGCACTGCTTATGCATACGCGCGCTTAAGGCGTACTATCATCTGTCCACTAAAACTGGGGTCACTTTTCTAAAATTTATTTAGAAGAGCAAAAAGTTTATTAATATTCAGATTTTTGCTTATGATTTAATAAATGGTTAAATAAAAAACGTTTTTTCAGATTTTTTTAAAAAGAAAAGAAGGAAAAGGTGTGACAGCTTTCGGGAAACAATGATTTTTTTTCTTGACCTTTGTATTTTTTTTTTTTTGGCATAATTATTAATAAAAATAATTTTCCCAAAAGGCTTTTGTTAATATTTGCATCGTATTAAAATATAGATTTAAAATTATGTTCTTTGGCACGCATCCAAGAAAGTACGGAATGTGCATGAATTGATTGATTTTCCTCTCACTAAGCAATAATTCAATTTTTTTCAGGTCTTCCTATGCCCGGCGGATTCAGTAATAATCATTTTATGAATTCTACAAGGGATTGTAATAAAAGCAATCAGAATTTTTCGAAAGGTCGTAGCATTAGTAATAACGATAATAATTGCAATAATAATAAAAATTATTACAATAATAATAATAAT